TTTCAAGTGGTGAATATAAATATCATTGCCAATTTTATACAGTATCACAATGTCAATAGACAACAGTGCAACAATAGAATACATTGCCAATTTTATACAGTATCACAATGTCAATAGACAACAGTGCAACAATAGAATAATTAACAAAATTTATTCCAAGAGGAAACCTAATTATCTTTAAAATTATGTAGTATATTATCATTCTAGTTGTCCCTTTAAAGTACCTAAAATAAAGAATATTTTTCTAAAAACCTACGAAACAACTCTTCAGAGACAGATAAAGAGCAAATTAAACTAGAGTTCGGAACTTATCGCAATATCTCTTGGATCTAACCCTAAAGCAAACTCTTACAAGCGTCCACTTGCTTGCTTGATTGAATTGCGTCAATTGCTAATGTTATTAGTTGGGTAAGTGTAATGCATATTTGTATTGCTGGAGGTGGTGGAGAACTTCCGCCCACTGGATGGCGAGATCCGGGTCTGACCTACGGTTTTCTCAGCCAGGTATCTCCCCAGCGCGGCACCTCAGCAGCCGGGACAAGCTCTAAGCTCCCGACCGGTCTGCCGGCATATGTGGCAGTGTAGTGCATGCGCGTGAACGTGGGTGTAAATGGAGAGGGAAGGACAAGGAAGAGGAAGGAAAGATCGCGCGCGGTCCGTGGCCCGTTTGATAGTGTACTGCTCCGACATTCGCCTGGTGGTGATCGAAAAAACCTCAGAAAACTTCGATCAAAGAAGGCGGTCTCTAAAACAGAGACTGAATCCGATCTAGCTGTGTAACGGTGTCGAAAATGCTGCCACTGTGGGGAGAGGTAGCCTAGGACCTCCCGGTCAGAGAGACTACAGTGACATCAGTTGATGCCCTGAGCCACCTCTTCCAGTCAATCCATTTGCGAGTTATCTCAATGTCGGATGAAAATATTCCCGGAGACAGGCCCTTATGGGACACCAAGCGATCCTAAATTGATGTTGATAGCCGCGGCGGCGGAGTGCGTTCATTAATTCAGAGCTCTGATTAAAAAGCCGCTGTTTGTTGAAATTGAATGTGGCGTCGTGACAAAGCGTCACTTGGTTGCACATTAATTTCCTTTCATTTAGCACTCTCAGTTGACGTGGAGCGACGTAGCGCAAAGACTCAAGTCCCACGTTTGGGGCTCTATAAAGCGTGCCAGCCAATCGTAAATCTCATTGGCTGGAGGAATAGGTAAAATTTTAATATGTGATGCGGATATATATAATATCAAAATTGAGTTAATTATGCCAAATTATAAACAATTAAAGTCCTAATAATTTGGTGTATAAGTTCAAAATACAAGAAAATTTGGCGAAGTTATTATAGTTCCAATATATGTTATCGGAAAAAGGAATTTTAAGAAAACACGTTTAAACTTTCGTAATTTAAAAAATTACATATGAAAAATTAACAAATTTAAGAAATGAAATTAGCTTAGCAATATCTTTGTAATGTTCTTTACAAAACTAAATACAATGAACAGATAAATAACATGTATTTTGGTTTCTTGCTTCCCACGCAAAACTTACCCGAAAAATAGTCCCTTTAAGTTTTCCGCATCACGTATTCAAGTCGTAGGAGACCAATATGGATAACAATGTTTTATTATCGAATGTAAGGATCTCAACATTCAACAATTTCTTTTTTATCTCGAATTTATGCACATTTGCCTTACCACTTTGAAAACTATTCTACTTTAAGTTTAGGAATTCATTTCAAATGCCATTCCACTTATCTACAACATTCTGCCTTGGTTTCATATCTAGTCGATCAAATAGTTGTATTTCGAGGTGAGAAACATACGTGGACGTGGCTTAATAGAACAGACAGTTCGATAGATAAATATATGGTCCGAACTGTTTATTTGAGCAATTACTCAGGATGCATGTTTTGATTTTAATAAAAGGCGTACTAAAATTCGAAATTAGAGACACAGACTGAAGGATACAGTGAACAAAAGGTGAAGAAAACGCAATTCTTCATACTAGAAAACATACAAACTATTTGGCAATTTGTTCCCAAAATTAATAATATGTTTAATTATTTATTTGATTTTATCCGTTATGAAAGTCAGCTCTTAATATATATTAACTCTCGCATCAACATTAATCATTTGCTCCCAATCTCTTATTCATTCGTTACTGTAAATACTTCATTGTACAAAGCGTTTTAGCCAAACAGTTGCCAAACCAAACCATCCAATTATATATGTTTTCATTGTTCTGTAAAACACTAAAATACATTCGTGTAAATGCACTATATAACTTCTAATTAAAGGGTTCGAGATAATTTCTTAATTAGAATAATATCTTCTTTCTACCTATATTCTGTTTAGTCAGTCTTGTCAATTATATATTGTAAAGGAAGCAGGGTTCACATTTGTAGACAGAAAAATGTTGTAACAATCAACCTCTCTCACCTAAGTAACTAACTTCACTTTGTCCATCAAGTAAAAATTAACTGTATCATAATGTTATTATATACAGTATTTTTGTTGGTTTTGTGAGTTCTCGTGTGTCAGGCAAGTTCTGACCTGTCAACATTTCTCCATTTCTATTTTCTATTGTAAATAATTTTTAAACCTTTTACTTTATATTTTTATCACTCAATTTGACAGCCTGATGACGGGGAAAACAATCCACGAAACCGTTAGATTAAGTTTATGAAAGAAATAGTAGTTATAACATTTGTCTGAACCCTAATTCCTTCATAATATGGAATAATGTCTGATTCCATTCACTTCCTAATCGACCTCATTGTAGAATGTGGATGTGTGCAATGCGTAGAGAAGGGTTTCTATTTCGGCCAGGAGTGCACATGGCGACGCAGACTCTTTCCATAACGCCTGTCAATACTCCTGGATACGAAGCATCGCTCTCTGCATTTGCATCCGGAGGCTACACAAACACGACCTCCACACAGCAAAATGCTGTTTGGAATGGAAACAGAAAAGGCAGATACAAAGCTTTATAAACTACTTTGCAAACATTTTCTTTACTAAAGAAGATTTTACTGTTTAATATTCCATTTTCGCATTAGTTATTTTCATCTTGTTGCAAAATAAACCTGAAATATCGGAAATGCGCTAAGGAGAAAGAGCGGATTGAATACAAAGTATTAGAAATTTATCATAATCATTTTATACAGTCGCTAAATTCCATATAATTTTTAATGGTCTTCATACATATCTATCATTTCGAAAATTATATGTAAAACTTAGCTAAAAGCTTATCACACCACGGAAAAGTAGGTACTACCACTCCAAAGACACAACTGTATTATGTCGTATTGTGTACTGAAGGAAAAAATGAAAGGTATTCTCGAGTTAGAACTTGGCTAGCAGACGTCGCACTCGGTTGGGGGACGATCCATCCCCTTTAAGGCTTCGGCCTCGCTTGGCTCCCTCGCCAGCGCCCGATATCTGCGCAATTATTTCAAACGTCGCTTCGGAAGAAGAATATCTGCGGGAGCCACGCTCGACAGTTGACGATCGCTGAAAGAAACCCGCCACCGCCGGAAAAGTGTTTCCAAGCAGACAGTGCATCCTGTGAAGATCATTTTGAGCAATCTCCCGGCAAATGTCTCGAAAGCCTACAGATGATACACTTGTACTTACAACGAATCTTCATTATAGAAATGAAAACATTGTAACAATTGTTTTCTAGAAACATTAGAAAGCCACTATAGGAAAATATTTTGCAAGTACCTTCCTCATTCTCTGAAATATTAAAGAAAACAAATTAAAATGTAGAGGTGTTACAACAGCAGATACTTTCTCGCATTATTGGAAATGGTAATGTAACATTTTACTATTGCAATTTCTGCCCCACTAACACTTTCGTTGTAACTTTAAAAAGTCCAATACACACAGCACCTGTGGTGCATTTATACATTTATTCCGATAGTTAGAACACTAGTCTTTTATTACTACTACTACTACTACTACTACTACTACTACTACTACTACTACTATAACTACTACTAGTACTATAACTACTACTATTATAACTACTACTACTACTGTAACGACTATAACTACTACTACTACTGTAACGACTATAACTACTACTACTACTACTACTACTACTACTACTACTACTACTATGACTACTACTACTATAACTACTACTACTATAACTACTACTACTATAATTACTACTACTATAACTACTACTATAACTACTACTACTACTATAACTACTACTACTACTACTACTACTACAACAAATGAAACACATGAATAAATTTAACCGTAACAGAATTTGAAGTACATTACACTGAAAATCAAAAAGCCTTAATTACCTGGAAGTGAACTTCCAATTTTTGAATACCGTAATCAGCGAGAAACTTTGAAAGGCTATTTGTTAGGTCTACGAATCAACACAATTGTTACTCTGTAAAAAGAATACTTTCCAGCAAGTCTGTAATTCAACTCTTGATCGGCATGTGAAATATATTCAAAACTATACGTAACAACGTACGTCACGTAATGTCCATCTAAAGGCATCACTTCTGGCACATTCTCTACTTGTATATATTCTTCCCAATATACTAAAATTGAATGGACTGTTTTATTAGACCTAGTGACATTATAACTATTTAGGTTAAATAAATAAATCCTCCTAATCGTTCTATTTATGTCTACTACCAACAATAAGAAGAATTCAAAAATTTCAAACCGCCGTTTTGCCGCGTTGCTATTTGACAAACTGACAAAGCATCAAAGAGCGTGAATTCGAATTTGCAATTCGATATTTTTTCAATGTGAAAAATACACAAGAGTTTCCGATAATATGAATAGCGCCCGTTCTTACCATATATTGCTACATACGACGAAGGAATGTAAAGAATAAAATGTGAAAGGTTTTTCCAAATATAATTGGTTAAATTTAAATATTGCGTATGTTTCTCTGCTAAATGCGAAAAACTTACTCATAATTTCGAAAAATCGAACTTTAACTTATTTTAAGTTAGTTTTTTGATTTAGTATATTTCATTAAGGAAAAGGTATATATCATTATTTACTTGTTGGAAGACACCGAAAAAAATTGAACTTCAACAATTTTCGAAATTTCGGATACTGAAAACACAAATGCTACCTACGCCATTTCTTGATACGTTTTTGCTCTATTACAGTTAACGAATAAGTGTGAAGCCACTTTTTGAGAAAATTTTCAAAATTTTGAGGCGTACATGTTAAAATACTGCAAAAAACTAAATACCCATTTCTAATTCAAGGGACCGCGACATCAATCATATCGATTGGGAGATCAATTTTGATGAAAATCCGGCTACGGTTTAACTTCTATTGTTGTTCACAGACAGATGGATGAACGGATAGGCGTACATACAGGCAGACGTTTGCTCGTCAATCTGTTTTTCGAAGTTAAGCACCACCTAATACAAATTGTGTCTATACAATGTGTAACAGGAAGTAATTTACTACATATATGAAAACAATTAATTCGCTTTTCGTCACTAGGACCCGGCAATAAGAGTTTTTCTCAAGAAAATTACCATTTTCACACATGTAGACATTCTGAAAACAAACTTATTTTATAAATAGTTATCATATCTGCAATAGATTCAATAAATTATTCAATTCACTTTTGGTATTAGATTCAAAAGTGAGAGCTAGCTAAAGATAAAATCATCACTGTTACCTATCGATTTTGCGAATACCTTCCGTAAATACGCAAAGGAAGCACAGGAAATAATGCTAGGAACACACCGTCTTGTAAAGCATTTTGAGATAAGAACTCGCTTGGTGACTCAATTCTTCTGTATTTCATAAGTATATAAATACTAAATAATGGTAACTTTTGTACTTAAATTCTCACAACATAAACATGATGCTGAAAACACAACTAAACATGATTTTAAAAGTAAAAACATAAACAATCAGACCGACAATGAAGTGCATTCTGCACGAACATGGGATATATTAGCAAATGATGGATAACTTTGCTGTGATATTGTTGAAACTTATCATTTGAATTATTAAAACCATATCCAACCAAATATACCAACTTCTTACTTTAAAATGAAACAAAATAATCAATGTTTAAAACGAAAAAATCCTAATAAGAAAGATATCTTTCTGGATATGACTTTTGGAAAGAAGATTAACTACATGAACTCACACCCGAAAGGCAGGAACAGCAAGTTGAGTTTTTAAATCCTAAAACGTCAAACGTAAGCGAAGTAATTTCGTCTGGCATTTTTTTAAACGATTTCTATTAGACCAAATTAATTATTTCAAGTTTGCTTCACACCATTCACAATCTCCAAGAGGAATGCTGACAGACTTCATCATTCGTTCAACGTAACAAACGGTTCGAAGCACATTGCCGTTGTAAAGTACCTTGTTCTTCGGCAGAGAGTAACGGCACAATCCCTTTGGCTCTGGGGTCCATCCACCGGTCCGCCGGTGGCGCAGCCCAGCGGCGCGGCCGCACATTACGATATCGTCCGCGACCGCCCCCCCCCCTTTCACGCAAAACGTTCATGAGCACGGCTTTCCCATTATGGGCCGTGCGTTATGGGCGGCGGGCGCCGGCTAAAGGACTGTAAGTGAGCGTGACAAAGGGGCGAGCAACAAAGAACCGATCTACATAATTATCCCATCGCGGAGGGCGAACCGACCAGCGCCAGCCAGCCCTCCCCTCCCTCCCCGCTCGCCTCCGCTGCACCCCACGCCGTCTAGGGATGGCAAAAAAATCGACGTGTTAAAAACATCGATATTTTGGAGCAGTAACAAGATATATTAACATCCATGTTTTACTTTCGATGTTTTCTTGACATCGATATATATGTCCACAAACAACGATGCTTTCAAAAAAAGTCCCATGATAAAATAAAATTTTCATTACCTTTTTTTGTCTTGTTTTACTGCGTGCTCGCAATCAAAAGCCACTGACAACTGTCACTGTTGTTGATCCCCAGGCGGCACGAAAACATTTTTCTACAGCAACCTTTCTGTAATGTGTCACCTGTGTTAAAAGTGTTGTTACCTTGTTTATTATTTTTAGGAGGAAATTGCGTTAAGCTGCTTTTGAACCTTGACTACATAGAGCATAAATTAGAAAATTTACATGAAAGTCAAATTTAAGGCCACATATACTTGAAATTAATATTGGCGGGTTATTGATTACATTAAAATTAGCACATTTTACTTAGATGATTTGAGAAATAAAGGGAATAAATTGGAAAATAGCAAATGATTAGCAGTTTTGTTATACGTGACCAAACAATAAAATAAAACTCGTTTAATTAAGTACTATACTTAAAAATGCAAAGAAGACGGGACCGCCTCATTTATCATATTTAAAATACCTATATTTCAATCACGGATGTTTTTGTCGATGTTTCGATCGACATCGAAAACCTTTTGGCGATGTTTGACTACCCCCCGCTTATTTACTCTGTCGCACCCCCTGCCCCTCCGCCGCCTCCACTGCGGCCACCGGGCGCACGCTCCGAGCGCGCCGCGGTGCGAGGCGAGAAAAGCACGCGGCAGGCGGCGGAGGTGCACTGACGTAATGCGATTCCTGTCTTTGGATTATTGGGCGTTCGGTTCCTCTCCGTGTAATACTACGGGAATGTTATAGCAATTAGTGGTGAACTAACAGGTCTGCAGAATTCGTTTATTAGATTATTTGTTTACTCCCATCAAATAATTCCGTCATTTGATGGTTCCACCCCTTTGCATTATGATACTCATTAGGATACATATTTAATTATAATACAGGTTTTGACCGATCACAGAGAAGCTTACAAGCTTACTTGACAATTAATCATTGAGAATCGTTATTGTAAATGTTCCGTTCGATGAGTACATTAAAATTGCATTTAATATTATATTATGCTTGTCAGTTTTGTTATCAGCATTTTGTAAGTGGGATTTTATTTAAAATAAATTGGACCGTAATTTCACTTCAAGCCTATCCTATTTGACTGGCGCAGTAAACGAAAGCCACCTGGGAGAGGGGGTAGGGTTAGGAAGCTGTTCGCTAGGCGGACTTGGCCGAATTCCGCATGTCAACTGTCACGAAACGATTCAATGTCAAAGTTTAACAAATAAAAGTTACTATAAAATGTAAATGTACCGTATGAAACTCCATGTAATGGGTATTAACGCACTCGTTTCTCGCTCGTATCGGAATATCACTCTCGCCTATTTATGTCCTGCATTACGTCATCGTTTCGAAATACACTATTATTTTAATGTCAAGTTTATTATAAGTAGAAAATTCATATTATTTAACGAGATGAATTAACATTTTCTCTTTGAATGGAACCCTGTGGACAACAAATGTTTGAGCGCTTTTAGTCAAAAAATATAAATTTATGAGGAAAATGTAATAATTCCCCCAAACCTTTGACGACAATATACGTGGCCTATTATGCGACCTATACTGCGGGGTATTTACTCACCTTCGCTAAAAATAATTCGCTCCTGGGTTTCAATAGCCACAAAACTCATTAATTTAAAACAAGTCCGTAATACTTTTAAAATTTGTCTTTCATTTATTCCCTTGTTTCATGAAATAGGTTCGAAATTCAAGCGAAAATGCAAATTATGAGCACAGTTTATTTGTTGACTTTAACTGAGAAAATCAATCTTCGTATTTGCTTCTGAAAAGAGAGTATACATTTCCAAATCCAAGCTGAATGTGATGTGTATTGCATTTCCAAAATATAATGCAAACACGAACCTGTGTGCTGTAGGAGAGAGCAAAGCCGTGCGCCCGGATGCCAGGTTTATAGACCTTTTTTAGAAATTCCCATTCACATAACACAAATACTGTCCTCTTTTGTACTCGCGTATTAATTCCTGGCAGAAAAGGTTTTTAATCCAACGCCTGTAACAGAACTACACACGTAGCTTCAAATAGGGTACAGCACCATTATTTTCCTGGCCGGAAAAACAAGACCCTATTGCATAGTCTGAGTATTATGAGTTGAACAAAGAGTACGATACATCACCAAACACGGAGGACGGATGGCGCGAAGCACTTGAAAACAGACTAATTCCGAGTTATATGGTTATGTTAAAAAATTATATTTATAGAATATATTCTTCTCTCGTTTTCGGTCCATTTTGTATCAACGTCTGACACTTCCATTTTCCGTTACGTGAAATTTCAACAATGCAGGAGCAAGTGCAATAAAAAAGCAGATTGTAAAGATCATAATATTCATCAATGATATTTCAGTATCAAAAGAGTATCAACGATAAATCAAGTGTTAAAGCTAGTATTTTATTCAAAATGATTGAACTTCTCAAAAAGTTTGCATCACAGAGATAAGTTGAATATGAACAGGCATTATGCATTTTATCTTACTTTAGAAAGTGCGTCTACAGTTCCAACATGTTTCACAACCTGTCACTTGGTGTAATTTGTATTGCCAACTTCCTTCTTAATTAAAAATAACCAACTAATTTGCAGTTCAAAGAACTGCCACCCCGACCGGGAACTCCTACTTTACTCTCACTTGCTACACCCACTGAGCTACCGAGACAACCAACTCTTCGAATGGGTTCTTAGGCCTGATATAGTGCTCGTTACGATATAATTCGGGTTCGAATCCCGATCGGGGTGACAATTCTTTGAACCCGGGCTCGCCTGAATGGTGCTAAGAGTAGCAACGATTTAATGCTCGCGCTTCGAGCGCGTGGCGAGGCCTGAATGGGAAATGAGGCCTTCGTCATTGCGTGGTGGGGCGTTCGTGGGCGGATGTCTACAACTCAGTGCTGCGAGGCGCGACAGGGGTTCGGGGAGTGTACGTCCTTTGTGTTGTGAAGCTGACCAAGCAAGGGAAAAAACAGCTAAGAAATGGATTCTACATCACATGTACAAGAAACAGAGTGGAAGAGACGTAAACGAAAGAAAGAGAGGAAAGAGGATGTAGTAAGGGTAAGGAAGATTAAAGAGAAGGAAATTTTAATCACAAAGAAATATTTTTAAGTTGTTTAAACATTTACAAAAACCTTCTATCAAAAA